CATTGCTAATTAATGATTGTGGTCTATCTATCATGTCGCATAAACATATCGTGCACATTATAGCATTGGAAATGCTTTGAACTTCATTTATATAAAAGAAAGATTCAGATAGTAAAGGATTACACCTCATCCTTTAGAGATTTCAAAACCGATCGAACAGATATAGACTAAAAATAGGATTGAAGTCGCGACTTTTGCCTCCTGGCACCTCTTCTTACCAAGTGAGCTACGCCCATGATCGTAGATTTTTTTAGAGATTCGGATATTACTATATTAGCATGATTTAGATTTCGGAGATTTTTTAAAATCTTCCACAAGCTAGATAACATTACATTTAACAGCAAACATATTCACGTACTCTTCCTATTTTGCAAATTTATCAATAAATCAAAGGAAAATTTTCAGAATAGAAGCAGATAACATGACAACAATCACTTATATTTATTCAAAATGTTTTGCAATTTAACATTTTTTACTCCAACTTAATTAAGGCAGTTTTTTAAAATCAAACTTATAAAACCATTTATCTATTATTTTTGACTTGTCCCGAAACACATTTTTATGCCTTCCAAGTTCCAAAACATAAAATACTTCCAAATTTTAGGTACTTCTATTTACAATCGTCCACGCACAACCTAAACAAATTTAGACCTGTTAATTTATATTTCGTATTTTATTCATGTTATATTCGGTGGTAAAATTATTTTCATCTGAATAAGTAATTAAAACCCATATGCTTGGTACATATGGGTTAGCCACAGTTTTTTTTATGAAAATAATTTACGGTATGGCACAAGAGAATGTGGTTGTTTTTTAACATTTGTAACTCTCCAAAATCAAGAATAGGCAGTATGAAAATAAAGAAGAAAGTAAAAACTCATCAAAGTTCAATTTAGAAAAATAAACAATACGGAGTATTTTGAAACGAAGACTAAGATGGTGTGATAAACATTATGAGAAAAAATCAACATATTTAATTCTAAATCTCATTTGCTCCTATTGTGTGATACACTCCTACACCATTTTAGTCTTTGTTTCAAAAGAGGCATGCATCTATGTGTTTTTTGTGCATTGACATTTTAATAAATAACAGAATACGATTAATATCAATCAAAATAATTGAATTTTCAACCCTGTGATTTAACTCAAAAACCAAGAGCCTCAGCTAGGGTTTTGATCCTCGTCTGCGTAGTTTCTGCCGCAACTAGGGTTTTGACCCTCGTTTGCGTAAGTTGGGGTCGGTGAATTTCTTCGCTCGATGTTGGAAGATACAGGGACGGATTCCGCAATCAAGGATTGGAGCATCAAAGACCAATTCCAAATTCGATTGGGTTTGTGCGACTAATCCGAATTGGGATGTGGGGACTAATCGTTCTCGGATCGGTTTTGTTCGTGCAGTACCTTGGTCAAGAGAAGGAGGCGATCCACGGGCAGATCGAAGTGATGAAGGGAGAAGATAAAGGGATGAAAATCCGCCCCCTCCCGAACGACCGCCATGGATGAACTATGCGACTAGGGTGTGGAAGGTTGTTTTTCTATTTCTAATTTTTTATTTTCAATCCAGACTATTTTACTATTTCTATTTTGCTCTTTTTAGGATAAACAATCAAGGGGTAGAATGACGTTTTGTTTTGCTTTAGTTGATAGATTACTTATTGGAGGCAATCAGGCTGATTCAGCCGCTAATAGCCTCGAAGCTCTCACATTTTCAGCGATTAGTCTCGCTCTTTTTGGGGTGAACTATTCTATGTCTGGTCTATGTTTGCATGTTACCTTATTGTACGGTGAGCTTGATTTTAATATTATACTCCTTATGTTAGTTTTCTGTCAAAAAAATCAATCAAAATAATTGGAGAAAATAGTAATATAACAAATCGTGTTTATAATAACTTGTAGGAGAATATATTCATGACTATAAAACTGCTTCATATCTCCGTTTTTAATTTATTAAATATGTTGATCATGCAGATTGTGGCTTTATATTATTTGATTGATGTAGGTATATGAAATAAATTACTCCATATTAATCTTTATATTCAGATTTTACGTCATTTAATTTGTACACCTTTAACAAAAATTTGACTCAGGCCAAAAATTTGTACACCTGTAAATAAGTAACACACTAAAAGCCCTTTTGATGATCCTGTTTTGGGCTTATCAGCCAGCTTTTTCACATAATAGGTAACTTTTGATTTTGACTGGAGTTACTTTTCTGATTGTATTGACTGGAGTTACTGTAGAGAATTATTTTAGCTATGTTTTCATATAACTTTTTCTTTTTTTGTTAATAAAATAGATTTTAAATATAATTTTTTCATAAACCAGCAGAATCGGCTAATCCAACCACTTCAACCGGAACTTCATAAATTTCAGTAGAATCAACCAATACAACCGATTTGGATACTACCAAACAGGCTCTAACACGGAGTAACAATGTTAATGTATTCCACATATGAAATGCATGGCATCTTGCGAAATTATAACAGAATAATACTTTTATGTTTATAGATGTTTATAACGGTGCATATAACCCTCACAATGCAATTCTTATACCGTGGGATCATCCCACGGTGAGCATGATGCTCCACTTCCAAAACGACGTAGTTTTACCCAATTTTTTTATAAAAAAAATCGCGTGAACAGTAGACGTGTGAACAGTACACGCATGTACAGTAACTGTTTTTTCTTTCTTTTTCTCCCAGTAGCATGAATGATGTAACTCGCGAGTAAAGATATGTAACTTACGTTATTGATTAATGTAACTCAAGTGCATTCGAAATGTAACTTGTCAAATACATAGTATTAAAAATACAATATTGATTTCAATTTAAACAATGAAAAAAGAGTCTAATTTTCAAATGTAACTCACGCGCTGGAGTGTGAAACTTGTTGTACTCATTTTTTTGAAAGAGTAACTTATTTTACTCTCTCAACTTGTTATACCACTTGAAATATAGTTTTTATTTTTATAAAAAGTATTTTTATAAAAATCAATCTATATTTTTTATTTCTATAAAAATGATTTTTTATAAAAATAATTTTTCTTTGAATAGAAGGAGCTTATTTTGTTGTGTAACTCGCATTATATTGTGGTGTAACTCGCAATATGAAAACTGTAAATTGCGTGTAAGTGTGATGTAACTTGGTGAGAAAAGTTTACATGTAACTCACATTGATAGATATGTAACTTGAGATAAATGGAAATGTAAACTCTTTTAATAAAAATGTAACTTTTCTTAGATAGCCATGGATGATCATCCCTGCAGAAATTTTAACAAAAAACTTGAAAAAATCGGAACCCAATCCCATACAGAAACCCAATCACCGGCGTTCTTGCCAGTGAGTCATCGGTTTGCTACCAAGGCGGCAGATAATAATAGTTGTGCTCAACCTAGCGTTAATAATAGATCCTCCTCCTGCAGCCAAGGCGGCAGATCCTATATCCAGGCGGAAAATTCTAGGCTTGTGAATTCCGGCAACTGTCTATACATGAGGATTCGTAGAGCGAAGAATTCCAGACTTGTGGATTGAGGAGTATATACGATACATGAGGATTTGTAGAGCGAAGAATTACTGGCTTGTGGATGGAGTATATACATCATACGAAGTAAATACCAAGTATAGTAAATGAATTTGATTGAGCATGAAGGTTCTGCAGGAGGATTCGTATCACTGAAGAATTGGTTTCTTGGCTGCAGGGACGGAACATATACTGGAAAAGATGATGAGTTTGTGCGTCTCTGTTTTAATTAATAACAAAACGACACCGTTTGGGATCGGCACACCATGCACATGGTGGGCCGATCCCACGGTATAATTTGCGCTCATAATGTGTGCCCAATAAATTAATGGCCACATGACATGGCTGCCAAATTGCAGCTCGCTAGTTTTTATATGAATTAATTTATTTTAGTTTGAGTTCATATTTTTTTTAAAATTTGTCATATTAAATATTTCTTTATGATCTTTCATATCAACTAAATTTCTTTTAAGTTGATTGTAGTGAGCATATAATGTGACTTCTTTGAATCAATTTTATCGTATACACTGCGGTTACATGGCCCTATTTGTGAATAGATTTTTAGATTTTATCAGACAATAATCAAAGTTTCAGCAATGTGTTTTAGAAATGATGTATTTCAATGTTTTTGTCATCCACCCTGGATAGGGATGGACTCGGTTCGGGCCGGGATCGATTCGGGCCTTGAATCAGCCGGGCCTTGATTCAAGGTATGGGAGTCCCTGGATGAAAAAGAAAAATAAATGAAAGAAGAAACAGCATGGAAAGAAACGATAAAAAACACTTGCTTCTTACCACATGGTTGTCCAACTATGGTTTAGATAATAAAGCAAAATACTGGCTTCTTTCCGCATGATCATTCAACTACTGTTTAAGAGGCTGTTTGACAATCCTCATATTCGGCTTATCAGTCTTATCAGCTAACTTTTTCACCAAACACGTAAATTTTGCTTTCGCGCGTTGAATTGTGTAATAAGCCGAAAAAGTAAGATTGAAGTTACTTTTCTTGCTGTATTGGCTGAAGTTACTGTAGATGACCATTTTAGCTATTTTTACATATAATTTTTTCTTTATTTTATTAATAAAATATATTTTGAAAATATTTTTTTCTTGTATCAACAGAATCGGCCAATGCAGCCACTTCAGCCAGAAATTCATAAATTTCAACAAAATCAACCAGAATAACCGATTTTCATGCTACCAAACGGACTCTAAATATTAAAATTCTTTCAACTAAGATGTTAAGTAGGTTAAGGTTATCAGGAAAATGTTGTATATTCATTAATCTTTCTCTTAACAGTCTGGTATGAAACTCTGAAGTCTGAACCAAACGAGTCAAGTGACTACTTTGGAATTTTGGATGTAATTGGCATTTTAGTTGTTTGAACCCTTTCTCGTTAGTAGTTAGCAACTTAGCATACACTCAAAGAGGACAAAGATATAAGACACAATTGACATAGTTAAATTTATAATTCTAATTCACATTTAAAGTACACAAGTTAGAATTTAAACAAAGGGATTACATTATGTTTCTTGTTTGCCAAAGAAAAATATTTTAAACCGAGATATATATATCTATTCATAACCTGGTATTCCTGGTTCGTTTTTAATTTCAGATCTATTACATTTTGGCTTAAATATATTTTTGTCCTTGAGAAAGGAATGCAGATGACCAACTAATCGTCCTCATCACTTTCATATTCTTGACACAATGATGCTAATGCATTGCTTTTCAGGCTTGTTGGCTCACTTGGCTGCTGCTTCTTCTTCACAATAGCCACTTTAACGGATGATGATTTGAAAATAATTGTCTCGTTACCTGAATCCCCCTTTCTCACTGCTTTATCTGTTTCAACAGATGCTAAAAGTTGTCATCCTTAATCCATCATAACACTATTGCCATAAAACAAATCTCTAACAATACAGTTAACACTCTCCTCTCTATCCCCCCCCCCTCTCCTTTGATCCTTCGTAAGAATACACACACACAATAAAGGACCATTTGAACTCAAAGCAACATCCATAAAAGTCGATTTAATATGCAAAAACAATTGTCACCCACTCCATTATTTTCCATTCATAAACCACGAGTGCAGAAACTATTTCTGCCAAAAAGCCACGTGTTTCTTTAGCAGAACAAAATCCCATGCAACAGTAAAAATTAAAGGACGCCGCCTAGAACGCTAGAACTAACCTTTTCCGTCAGTGGCATTGGATTTTGCAAAGACATCTGTAGGATTACTGGTTATTTCTTCAGGCTGCTTTCTCTGCATTGAAAAAAAAACAAGTTCTGTTTAGTTAAGCTGATCCATAAAAATTGCACATTAGTTTTTAGGGAGAAGTAATTAAAATACCCCAAACTTTGAAGAGGTGTGAAGTAAGCACCCCAAACTTGCATATGTAATTTAAATACCGCAAATTTTATATAAATAGTTATTTTAGCACCCTGGTCATGTATTATTTTTTTCAAAAATGTCTATTTGGTGTTAATTTCAAAATTTAAAGTATTTTAGCATTCATGAAGATACAATTAACATTCTAAACATCCACTGTAAAATAAATAGTATTACCCCTCACTCTATATAATTGCAAAGTTTTCAATTTATTATTTTAAATTATGCAATTAACATCATAAATTTACATTTTAAAAAGAAATGATACATGAGCATGATGTTAAAATAACATTTTATATAAAGTTTGGGGTATTTAAATTACATATGCAAGTTTGGGGTGCTTATCTCACATCCCTTCATAGTTTGGGGTATTTTAATTATTTTTCCCTAGTTTTTAACAGTCCCTTCATTCTAAAATGTTTGTTGTTTTAAAGAAGTGCACATATTAAAGAACATAACAAAACGATCACACCATTCAGCCTATCGTTATTTAAGTTTAACTTTAAATGTATTGCATTTCTTTTAAAGGTACAAAAGCATTAGTGTGGAAGAGTTAATGTTGGAGAAGTTGGAAGATTAATAAAAAAATACCCATTCTAATAGTTTTTTTGGTACACATATTTTGGTTAAAATGACATTTAAATTTGTACTTCGTATTTGCCATATGAAAACTAAGAACCCATTTCAGTTTGCATTGAGTTCAAAATGCAACTGTTGATATTTGAAAATGTGTTGAGCTGTATCCTATGTTATAAGCACCCAAGCCTTCTATTTTCAATTTAATCCTATAAATATGAATGAATTACTAATGCTTGTAAATGGAACATGGAAATTGATGACATTTGTACCTTAAGAAAATTGATTGATGATTCTCCACCTTTATGTTCAACTACATCTATATCCTCATCATCTTCATCCTCATCTTCGATATCTTCATCATGGATTCGTTTTATGAACTTCTCTCTCTCTCCCTGACGTATAGCCACACATTAACATAATGAGAATATTGTAGAGCAGAAACAACCGTGGAAGCAATAGGAGATGAAAAAGTCAAAGATCAAAGGCCCCTTCAGCAACAATACGCACTTTGAATAAGTATTTGATTAGAGCTTCCTCTTCTTCCTCCGTTTTTCTTTCCTGCCACATTAGAAAGAAGGCAAAAATTATGTTAAGAGCACAACTTTGATGGTATAAATGGAGCTTGCAGATTTCACATTTCAGGGAGCAAAAAGAAAGGCTTTGAATAGCATATGTGGCTGGTGAACTGCAACTACTTTGGAATAACATCATACGAAGTATATAGTACTAGCACATATTGTAACCACAATTTCTTAACTGATTTAGGAGACGTATTCTCAGAAACAGCCACAGAATGGATTAGCAAGGATATTAAAGTGTACTACTACATGTCTACATCCATATGAGTGTGTGCACCCGACAATGAAAAACTTAGATATCAGAATTGCAAAGTCAATGATATAGTCTGTATAAAGATGATGCTAACATTCAAAAACATCAAATTTTGCTCCAAGTTTTAATAATGTGAGGTCAAACTGAATAAAAGTCTTGCCTTTTCCTCGGTAGAGTCTCTTAGAGCCTCAAGCATTGCATCCACACTCACAGTTGCATGCCTCGACTGAAATAATTATCAGAAGACAAGATGTTAAAAGAAGTAAAGCCAACTAGTGTTGACACAAAAGCCACACCACAGCAGCACCAGAGCATATGTTTATAAATAGGCAGCTAAGAAAATCACCTTCATGGACTTCATTTCATCCAAAGCTGCAAGAATATCCATTTCTCTTTTTGAATCCAGGGTCCTATTTTCCAAAGACTTCATAGCATCACCCATTTCTTCAGCCTCCCTTTTCTGTTTCTCTTTATCCAAAACCTGCGAATTGAGAATAAATAGGATAAGGCAATCAATTATCTATTTATCTCTATTATATTTACTCCCAAATAACAATAAAGCAGACATAAAAACCCTAACCCACCAAAAATACATTACAGTATTACACATGATAAAATACGATGAAAACTAAAATTGACTGGACAGCCAGTTACCTCATCTTGGTCTCGCCAAGGTTCAAAGTTCCTGGTTGCACCTGACTCAACAACATAATCGGAATTTTTTGGATCTGTCTTGTATGCAATCTCTGCAGAACACTTTGTGCACTTGAAGTAGAACCTGAATATTTGTATACCCAAATAGGTCTGCAAATGACCCCATTGCATGGAAAAAATCAGAAATATACGAAAGAATCCGCATTTGATGCCTCAGTAATAAACTATGGAGTAGTAATTAACTGTAAGGTCATAACAATTCAACAACTCCTTGCAATGCTTGATCATCAACGCAGAATATAACAGTATAATATACACAAATATACAAATGTTTTGTTTTAAATAGTCCACGTATGCCTAACCGACTCTACGACAAACAAACTTTACGCTCACTGTATCCATGAGTTTTACCCTTAATCCAAAGGAAAATCCTCAACACATTTAAATTTGATGCCACAAAATTATGCTCACATCAGTGTAGTAAGTCTCATCTTTACACAAGTACATTATGGATAGTCAATTTCAAATCATGCTAATAATATCAATACTGCTGTGCTCATTCTTACACTATTTATACATAAGGCCCTTGGGCCACAAAAAAAATGAACTGGTTATATGTACACTAGAGCTCTAATGCTTTATATTAGCGCATTTTAACAACCTTCTAACTCTCTCTGGGCAGTTTGTACTAAAAAAACTGACTCACCTTAGTGCCTTAGCTCTCACATAAATTCTTGTGTTCTAGCTTATTATTCACGTCTTTTTAAATTCATGAGTGGTGGTCCTTGTTCACTGGTTAGGTTTCTTCCATTCGCGGATTAAAGATAGTAATATATTCATATTACAATTTAACCAGAACTGCTCTTACACACAAGCACTAAACTGGTTATCTCCCCTTGTGCCCTGATTCCTGAAGGGCAGGGTTTGAATCCACCCTTTGCCAAAAGGTAGACCTGGGTTACTTTTCCACATACTCTGTGGAGATTGTGCTCTGGCATGCCATTTATAAGGTTTCAACACGGGAATTAGCGTTGTGCGGAATGATTCCGAACAGGAGAATATACCATCACCAGGGAAAAATAAAACACTGCTGATTTTCTGTTAAATAATAACCATATAAACCATATTAATATGCACTAACATACCTCACCCACGGCGTCTTCTTTGCGTGAGTTGAATTTGGTGCCCTTGTAGATGTAATTTCCACAAGTACTACACCTAACACTCATTGGGAGCATCATCCGGACCTTCATCTGCTGATTCTTCGGCTGCCTACGGCGTGGAATCTTCGCCGGATCAAAATCCGGCGGGTAGTACTTGTTCAAGACCTTTCTTTCTCCCATGGCTAATCAGTCCTCTCGACCCAATCAAAATCAGACAGTGTTCGGAACACAGCAGCCAAATGTAATCTCTGCAGAAGCACAAATGTCCTTCGCGAGCAAGTTCCTTGATATAGATTCTGTCACCTCCAAGGGATCTCTTGCACAGCTGATAAAACACATCCAGTGTATTATTAAAATATAAATATAATAAGAAAAGAAAACTTCCTAGAGAAGTTGGCGCTGCAACACTTTCACAGTAAGAACAATCACAGGATTACTTCAGCATTGGAGAAATTATTAATTAAAGCATATAGATAACCGAACGGATTTGTTGGTCCAAGACTGCGAAGACGCTTTATTATACTCATTTTGGATAATGGGAGATAAAGCAATAATCTTTGGCAGTCACTTTTCAGTTTAACGTGCCATTAAACTATGGTATTTAAACATTTTGTAAGAATCGATATAGTAGATACAGGGCCGGTCCTGGAAGACTAGAGACCCGGTGCGACGAAAAAATAAATGGGCCTTTTCTTTCCGACACTAAGAAAAATAAAACTTAAATAATAATGATAATAGTAATAAATTACACAAAATAAAAAACATTAAACAACAGCCACAATACTTAAAATCATAATTCCTAAAATCATGTAAAAGTTTATAAATTGAAGTTAAAATTTAATTTAATTTTTACTTAATAACTTTAACCCACCACGAAAAAAGCAATAAGAATTAAGAAATAACATATTTTTACATTTACATCAAATTATTAAACATAAATGATGTAATTAATTCATCAATTAATTACACAAAATAAAAAACATTAAGCAACAGCCACAATACCTATTAATCGACTCTACATTTCTACTAAATTGCTAATAATCCAAAGTCCCAAACAATCAAACATATAACAAAAACAATTAAAACAATCTAATAGAACTATAGAAGTATAAAACTATAAAAGTCAAACTTACCTGCAAACTGCAAAGGCCAAAGGAGTGGACTGAAGTCTGAAGGGAGTGAAGGCCTGAAGGGACTGGACTGGACGCCTGCGGAGGTGTTGTTCTGCAGCTGGACGCCTGGACTGCTGGACGGCCGTCAGCCCGTCGCCCGGAGACCTGGACTGCTGGCCTGCTGCGAATTGCGATGGCCGATGAGCGATGAATGAACGGCTCGAGTGCTCGACGCAACCTGCGAATTTTGGATGAATTGCCGAAGCCCGAAGGTTTTTTGTTGCGCCCCCTTTTTGTTGTCCGACTTATCTCAGGATTCAGGAGGTTGTGGGCTTTTGGGTTTATTTTGGACTTGGGCTGCTGGATTACCTAATACTAATACGAGTACTATTTTTTGGGGGGGCCCTCATAATTTAGAGGCCCTGTGCAGTGGCACTGGATCTCCCTCCCCTGGGCCGGCCCTGAGTCGATAGTACTTCTGAATCAGATTAGGTCCACCATTTTATACTGTGTGTAACTGTGTGTGTGTGTATATATATAGATATATAGATATATATATATATATATATATATATATATATGTGTGTGTGTGTGTGTATGTGTGTGTGTGGAGAGAGAGAGAGTAGAGCTGAGTTCTAGTCATACACAAATTTGTTGCAATTTGATAGATTTTAAGGAGATGAATCAGATTAGGTTCACCATTTTATAGTATACATATATGGCTAACTTCATCTCTATTATTAAGAGGTCAATCACATATTTTTCTTCTTTTGCCGGGATCCCATTCAATTTCAATCACAGAAGAAGATATTTGATTTTGAACATGAGAAGGTTCTTCATGGCTTTCATGCTCATTCGAGCTCTCACTTTGTACACTTCTTGTTGGGGCAGTGGGGCTAAGGTAAGAATGCAAAATTGTTTTGGCTTTCTTGGGAGGATATTCTGGAGTGGTCATTATTTTCTATAACATCAAATCAAAATATAACATTTTAATATTAATAAATAATAGTTTCAAAATGATAGTCCTGTATTTCCTTTTTGGGATGTCCAAAAATGATGGTCATGTTTCCCTTTTTAGAAAGAAAGATGTGTCCATATCATTTCACTTTATTATACTCAAATCTCAACCAAAACTTTTATGTTTTCAACCACTTTATTAAAACTTGTGCCCAAAAGAAATGAGACTCTCAAATTGGGACGGAGGGAGTAATAACCGGTAAATCTAAACCAAAGCAATGAAGCAATTTAAATAATTTAATTTGTAATTTCGAGGCAGGAATCCTACAACTACAACCTAAAAACTGAAAAATCAGTTTAATATTTATCCATTACATTGGGCAATTGGCATCAAGGGCCGTAACGCATGTCCACATTAAGTTATTACTCATTAAATCTAAAATTAAAATCAAAATACGAATAAGTAGGGGTGGTTCGGTACGGTATGCCGAATATTTTTTCTCATACATTTGCCTTACCGAAACTTTCGGTATACAAAATTTATATACCTTTACCGTACCGAAGTTTCGGTATACCGCATTTCGGTATACCGAAGTTTCGGTTTGGTAACGGTACGGTATCGGTAAATTACCATGCATGTCTCCCAATAAAACAAATTATCATAGACCAACGAAATATACCAAATTGGTGTTACTAGCGACATATTTAATGCATTATTAAAATGCTACACGATACAATTAATAATCTATTGATGTCATATTCAATCTTGTACAATAATTATTATTAGTATATTTAAGTAGTTCAACATGCCACATATTAAAAAATAATACATTCTCCTAAAATAACTTGAACAATATAAATATACTTAAATCAATAGTGATCTCTAACAAAAAAAAATTATTCAAACGACATGGATATAAATCATTTATTTATTCCTAATATGATATTGTGTATTTAGTCATATTTATAATTTTAAAATAATATTTGAATAAGACTTTTAGCAAAGTCGTGTGTCTCGGGTTCGGTAAATTAGGCCTTTATTTGTGTATTTCGGTATTTGAACAACCTAAGTATTAATTTTGGCCATCAAAATTGTAATTGACTTTTACAATATTTTAGAATTAAAAGTAATTGTTGGGTAGGGGAGTCGGGACGGTATTATACCGGTATACCGCGGTATATGAAAACATTTACCGTTACCGTACCAAAATAAATCGGTACGGTATGATACCGTACCGAAAATGACGGTATACAAATCTTTCGATATGTTCCGGTATTTTTCGGTACGGCAAGTGCGGTATACCGATTTTCTGGTATTTTTGTCCACCCCTACGAATAAGTTATATTGCTAGAGATTAGAGAAGACACATTCAATTTATTAGGAACACCATTCACAATTTACAAATATACAATAGCACTAAAGCAGTTCACTAATCAGTAATCAGGAACCAATTTTACAAATTAGAATTTACCAATTACAATTACTAATTAATTTAAGAAATTAGGGTTTGAAATAAAACCTTAAAATTGCAGATTTGCAGAGTAATCAATGGCGCACTGGTTCTGCTGGGTTGCTGGCAGATAGGATGGACTCCCGGTCGGCGGTCCGCAATCGTCTTCTACCTCCAACGGCGGCGTCAGGCGTATGCTTGGCTCTTGAGTCTTGAGTTGAGAAATACGGAGTATCTATTTACTCCCGTAGTCCCGAATGGCCGTATCTTGTACTCTGCGTCTCACTAGATTCTCACCCGTGCGATGCACGGGACAAAATACAATCAAAACATATAAAAAAATTATATCAATGTAATAAAATCCAAGATTGATAAAATTATTATAATTCTTATAATTGTAATTATAATCATAATTCAAAAAGAGTGAAGAAATCGAAGCTATATAGTAATATTCTATATGCGCAATATGAAATAGTTAAGAAGAGTAAATTTTAATGTTTACAATGTTCCAAAAGCACACAAACTGTAACCACTACATCGAAGGAACAAATTACAAATTTTGAAGCACTTCTTTGCAAACAACATTAGTAGTATTAAGAATATTGTACTTTAAAACATTTATGATTGATAACTCTTGACAATGCAATAAAAAATTGACCATGAGTAAACACGGCTTAATAGTAGTCCAACATGCAACAAAGACTGATTTTGACATGTGTTTATCGTCATTGCATAAGAGCCTCATTGCATAAGAGCGTCACGATAAAAAAATGTCTTCTTTGAAACTTGAAAGGTATTCTCACATCGAAAGAAATAATTTTAATCGTCGAATACGTACCTTTTGACCATTACATTACGGCATTACCTAATCGGTAAAATAATAATAACTGAATACACTAAATAAAATAATAATAAGTGCACCTTCAACTGTATTACTCTGTGACGGAATTACATCTTCTATTTATGTCGATATAACACCACTATTTATTTCATGTCCACCGTTCCACACTGTATATCCTTTAAAATAGATATACTTTCATTCAATAGTATATAAGTGTAATTATAAATAAATAGCTATTTTAATGAAATTATTACAAAAATGTACAAAACATACAAAATTTATTACTACCTCTATCACGAAAAAGTTCGTCAAATTAACTTTTCTTGGTCAATGATGACAAACTTTGGACAATGATTTTAATTATTATATTTTTATATAATTTATATATTGTATACTTTCATGAAAATATTTTGAATAAAGAACATTTTGATACAATTTTTATATTCAAAATAGCTTCATATTAACAAATTTCATTGGTCAAAATTGATTAACATTGACCAAGAAAAATCAATTTGACGAACCTTTTCGAGATGGTGTAATATAAATGCAATGAGATTACTAGTGTAATACTGAAAAGATTTACAAAAAAAATAAACATTTTAATCTTCCAACCGATAACCCAAATACCCAAACAGGAAACCCTAACTATATAAACTCTCTATACCCAAACTCCACCTCTAACCGACTTTGCTCTATACCCGAACCTGCGGAGACATCGGCTAATACGATGCTCTCCGCCTTTCTTCTCCTACCTTCAATCACCTGCCTCTATTCTTCTACCTTCAATCCAACCATAATCATTGATCCTCTCTAAGCCCAAGCCTCCATAGTTGTTTCAGTAAAAGCAATGGTCTACGCCATAAATCGGCAACGACGAGTCATCGGTTTATCCGATCGTCTCTGTAAACCAATTGTAGGTGGAAGTCTTCATATTTCCAACTGACTCACTGCATCTTGGTCTATGAATCAGATCCTCCGACGGAGGTCTAGTCGTTCGTTGTGTACGCCCTGTGTATTGGAGTGGTATCCCAACCTTGACTATTGTGATGGGTATAATCCGAACTCTTTTTTGGGTTTTTTCAATTTAAAATACATATGACCTAAGTTTTCTTTTTGTAAATAATAGCTTTTGGTTGCATATGAGATGTATTTGCTGAGATAGCATCGGTTTAAACATTTAGAAATAAAATTAGGGATTCTAATCGTATAAGATAAAACTCAGCTTTTTGTCTAAAGTACAAACAAATCTGTTTAAAAAGGTTATCATGTATATCTGATTTTTAAACAAAACTACTTTTACAATCTGGATCTATCATACCGTTTAAAGATATGTTGATATGTGAAACTTACATCACTTCTAAATGCATATATACTCAAAATAGTCAAATATGGTTTGAAGAATAAATATGATTCGCATAAGTGACACATACATATCCGTATCTCCTGAAAATGAGATTTAGAGTATAAATGTCACACATTAATATAATGGTTTGTAGTCCAAAAATGTCACACATAAAATTGCCTTGTTGATATAATTATGATGATTTCAAAATAATTAATCAAAACTATCGGGTCTTTCTTGATTGAAACTGTCTTTACCGATACAGATTACACATTCAAAAGGTTAGATATTTGATACACCTATAATATATTAAATTATTTTTTTTCACATTTATGAATATGTGAATCAATGGTTATCCATTCGGCATGAGCTGTTTTCCTATACTCCGTAGTAAGCTAGCTTACTTAACTACCTGGAAGCTGCTATCCATTTATTGAAGCTTGAATTTTGAAACAAAAGGCCAATAAGAGTCCTATAATTCAAAACCAACTATTTTCCTTTGAAACTGTCCTCTTTACAACTATTTTCAGTGGAAGATATCCTTTTTATAATATCTTTATCAGGCATCAAAAGTGATTCTCCTTAGTTGGATTTTCTTTAATATTTAGCCTTTTATTATTATATGTTTTAAGGTATTCTCAGTTTGTTATTAGCTATTGCTATTACACTATGGTTTAAATAATTTCAGTTTCATATAGGTTGTT